TTGTCAATGTCTAAGTTGCCTGCCTGGGTTATGGACAGCGATAATTACGGAGAGAGCTTGTGATGTTTTTGAATCATATAGCAAAAAGTACAGTTGTGTCACTAATGTAGTCATCAATTTTGTCAAGTTTTTATGAGCACCTAGTCAGTTTAGTTTGTTTCATGATTTATGCTCAGAGAGCCGTGTCCTCTTTGAATGATCCCTGTTCTCCACTTCCAAGGTGGTATCGTGTTGGGGCATGATCCCTGGCCATATGGTGTTTCAGGTTTAATGGCTTTTTGCTGGTGCCCCCCCAAACACAGATATCGACAAATGGGAAGAGCCACCAACATAGCACTGGATAGCTCGTAAAGCACCAGTACTTCTATTCCTGAGATCGCAGGTTCAAATCCCACTCCAGTCAATTTCGTTGTTATCTAAGTTGTTATATAAGTTTTTCAAGAGATAAAAAATGTGAGAAACGTCCAGGGGAATCTGCAGTTGGGGCATTAACAACTATAGGATATCTTGCTTCACAGCACTCTGGTTTTGAAAAAATTAATCAGTTGTAAGTTCAAATAAATAGTTTTGGCAAGCACTTGGTAGTTTTCTCCTCTTTGTTGCCAATAAACTCTGGCGCTCCTGTTTTGTCCAGTTTTTACTGGAGCTTGATGTCTCAAAAAATCATCTAGTACAGGCTAGGAACAAGATTGCATGTTCACAAATAGGACGTAGCCTTTTTTGGCAGCTGTGAGCAATGTACAAGACCTCCAGATCAGATTGCACGGGTCTTCAGGACAGATGAGGCATCTCAAGGAGTAGCGATATCCAGAAAAAGCATCTTAAAGTTTTTAGCATTTCACCATGAAATTAGATTAGATTTTTCTTGCTCCAAAACTCAACTAGTTATACCAGTGAGGAGTTAATTGCTTCGTTTTTGCTGTTCATCTGGATCTTGGAGTGTTTATGGAGAAATCAAACCTTACAGTGCCTCTTGTGGTGCTAACTTCTGGCCCTTCATTTTCTGTCAAAAAACCTTGTTGTGTTTTTTCCAACGGTGGGTGTGCCCAAGGTGGCAATTTTTTTTCTTGGAAAAGTAATGAGAGAGGTAATGAAACGCAGTTGATTTGGTCTGTTTTGTTTTTCTTTCAAAAGCTTGTCGTTTAATGCAAATGCAGCTGCTAAGTTTGTTCTCTGGTTTCTGTTTTCACAGATGATACATCATACAAAAAAGAAGCAAGAAAGCAAGGAGTCAACCAAGCTAGCAAGAAATGTTTTGGTCACTCAAGGTAAACTAACCCTTTCTTTCAGCCGTTAGCGCTCAAATTGAGCCAGTGACCACAAGACCCAGGAACTGAAGACTTCGAGTACAGTTTGCGAATGGAAACAGTCAATGGATTGCTCAGAGTGAGTCAAACTCTTTGATTTTACCTTTATGCCTCCTGTCAGTGTGTGTTGCTGAAACCACCTTGGGAGTAGGCAGCAGTGTTCATGGTGGGGAAATCTTCACTGCAACTTTTCAAAGCAATTTGACACCGGCTTGTTTATGCAGCAGAAACTTTGGACAACTTTAGCAAGCCCCTAGAAGATAATTTGTCTAATAATTACCCAAAAGCTTGAACTATGCCCACTTGAAGAATTCAAATTTTGCTGAAGTGTGAGTTTGTTCCATTCCATGTTTTCCAAGTTTAATTGATTTCCAGGGTGGTTCAGATAATGTATTGTCAGTGTTTTTGTTGGTGGTGGTGGTACATGTTGTGATTGTCTGTGTCGATGTTTGGTATTTGTGCTGTGTTTNAGCATCATACAAAAGGTAAGCATGCCAGAACTCGACAATAGAATGCAGACAACTTTAATAATTTGGATGCATATCAAGAGGTTTTTTCTAAAGAATCTTTTCCTAGGAAAGAGTACAAAATCAACTTTTTCAAAGTGGCATTCACAATTATATATAAATTTTAAAGCCCATGTAGCTGTCATGATGCCTTCCTGCACCACTTGCTGTTTCCAGGTTACATGGTGTCGCTGACTGAAGAAAGTTCTTTACTTCATGACAAAATTTTAAAGCCAGTTCCTTGAATCGGAAAAGCCTGACGATTGCCACTGATCATCGGCATGCAGCTTTAAACTCAAAAAGATTGGCTGAATTGAAATGCTGTTCATTTCATTCAATGCTCTTTCCCTTTTTCTTTTCTTCTAACAGGTAAATTTGATTTTTAGGGTATGTATGTCGTCACTTTCGGATGGCTCCTAAACCACCACAAGGGAAAATGGATGCTGGATGTCTGGAAAATCAGCAAATAGAGGCCAGGAACAAGATTACGTGTTCACTAAGGTGAGGTAACCTTTCTTGCAGCTGTGAGCATGTACAAGACCTCCAGGCCAGATTGCAAGTGTCTTTAGCACAGATGAGGCATCTAAAGGAGGAGTGTGGTCCAGAAAATGTGTCTTTTAAATTTCAAAACATTTCACCATGAAATTGAATTTAGACTTTTCTGTCTTTAAATACTTGTAAAAGTCACCCATTTGTTCCACTAAGGAGTTTCTGCTTAAATTTCTCGCTTTTCTTCAGGACCTACAAATATTTGTGGAGAAATCAAATCTTGAAGTGCCTCGGGCAGTTCTTAACTCTGCCCCCTTCATTTTCCATTGTTGAACCTCGTTTTACTATTTTTAGAGGGGTGAATTGCGCTCCAAGTACCAACTGTTTCTTGGAGAAGTAATAAATGCCATTTCTTTGGTCTGATTAATTTTTCTTTCAAATCTTGTAAAAGCCCCAAATGAAGCCTCTCCCCTCAGACAGACTGTAAAGGATTACTTAAAACGTTCAATCTAACCCTTCCCCCTAAAAAGATTTCTTGAACTGTCCTTGAATGGTCTGTCATTTCCTGCGATTGCAGCCAGTAAGTTTATTTTCCGGTTTCTGTTTCTACAGAGGATACATCATAAAAAAAGAAAAGCAAGCAAGCAAGGAGTCAACCAAGCCAACAAGAAATGTTTTGGTCACTCAAGGTAAACTAACCCTCTCTTTCAGCCGTTAGCGCTCAAATTGAGCCAGTGACCACAAGACCCAGGAACTGAAGACTTCGAGTACAGTTTGCGAATGGAAACGGTCAATGGATTGCTCAGAGTGAGTCAAACTCTTTGATTTTACCTTTACGCCTCCTGTTAGTGTGTGTTGCTGAAACCACCTTGGGAGTAGGCAGCAGTGTTCATGGTGGGGAGATCTACAGTGCAACTTTTCAAAGCAATATGACACCGGCTTGTTTACGCGGCAGAAACTTTGGACAACTTCAACTTCAACAAGCCCCTGGAAGATATTTTACAAGCCTTGATAAAATCATTTGTCTAATAATTACCCAAGAGCTTGAACTATGCCCACTTGAAGAATTCAAATTTTGCTGAAGTGTGAGTTTGTTCCATTCCATGTTTTCCAAGTTTAATTGATTTCCAGGGTGGTTCAGATAATGTATTGTCAGTGTTTTTGTTAGTGGTGGTGGTACATGTTGTGATTGTCTGTGTCAATGTTTGGTATTTGTGCTGTGTTTGTGTGAGGTTTGGTTTTTCCACAGATCATCGGCTCAAATTGAGCATGTCATCGGCTCAAATTGAGCATTTTACAAGACTACAAAAAGGACTAAGGGATCGTCTATATCCTGATGTCCTCGAGATGGGATTATGGGATCTGCTATATCCCTATATCCCCAACGGAAGACCAGCAGGACTAGGGGATCTGTTATATCCCTACGTCCACCCAGGGGCGGATCTTGAGTGGCAATGAAGGGGGAAACTCTGCTCCCTGGGGAGCATGCATGTTAGTCATCTAAAACATAGCAGGCCATCAATTAATCCTTGGCAGAGAAAAAATATACCATGATCGTCATGGTAACAGCTTTGAAATTCTTAAGGAGACATCGAAACAACAA